GTGGGTGCTAGAAGAAGAGAGCAAGATATTGAAAACCTATTTGAAGAAATAATGACAGAAAACTTCCCCTACCTGGTGAAAGAAATAGACTTACAAGTCCAGGAAGCGCAGGAACCCCAAACAAAAAGAATCCAAAGAGGTCCACATCAAGAAACATCATAATAAAAATGCCAAGAGCAAAAGACAAAGAATTTTAAAAGCAGCAAGAGAAAAACAGTTACCTACAAGGGAGTACCCATAAGATTGTCAGCTGATTTCTCAATAGGAACAATGCAGTCCAAAACGGGGGGCAAAAATATTCAAAGTGATGAATAGCAAGAACCTATAACCAAGATTACTTTACCCAGCAAAGCTATCATTCAGAATTGAAGGTCAGATAATAACTTCACAGATAAGAAAAAAGTAAAGGAATTCATCACCACCAAATCAGTAGTATATGAAATGCTTAAAGGTATCCTTTAAGAAGAAGAAGAAGTTTTTTGAGGGACCTCCCGGAGGCAGCCGATCCATGATGTCTCTCATCAATGTTTCTATCTCTCTCCCTCTCCTCTCCCTGTAAAACATCAATAAAATATATTTGAAAAAAAAGAAAAAGGTAAAAATATGAACAACAAATACATATCTGTCAAGTGAATCTAAAAACCAAGTGAGTAAATAATCTGATGAACAGAATAAACTGGTGAATATAATAGAATCGGGGGTATAGAAAGGGAGTGGACTGACTATTCCCGGGGAGTTGGGGGGCGGGTTAAGGGGTGCGGAAAGAGATTAGACAAAAATCATATACCTATGTATAAGGACAGTGGGGGGAGGGTAAGGGCTGAGGGTAGGGTGGGAACCGGGTGGAGGGGAGCTATGGGGGGCAAAGAACAACTGTAATAATATGAACAATAAAGATTTAATTTTTTAAAAAAGCATGTTACACAATTAGTTTTTATCATTTTTAAGGCAGGGGCTCACCTTTGACACTTTGAATGTGTCACAAGTAGTTGCCAATGTCAGATTTTTTAACCTTGAATTTCTTACTGATTTCTAATTCTGCGCATTTCCAGCCTGACTTTGAAATGTTCACCCTCTAATTATTGTAGCATGTCTATCAAAACTTCGTAGGTAGGAGCTATGCCATATTGTTCTCCAACACCCATGATACAAATACCACAAAAACCCAAAATTTGATTATTTTGGGAATTTGATTATTTTATCAGATGTATTATCAAGGCAAGACACATTTATATGCTTTTTCCTATTGGTAACAGTAAAGCATGATTTGGGGAAAGGAGTATATATCAGAATATAGGTTGTACATCCCTTTGATCTGGAAATCATAATGGAAGTTATGATTATAAGACTAAAACACAAATGAGTACCATATGGATGATGTCACTGGATTATTTAAAGTGGAAATATGCATACAGCTTGTAGGAGTTTGAATTTTGATATATTCTGATATTAGCCTGAAGCCATTAAATATGGCAGATATCTGTTAGGACAGGAGAAATACATAATATGGGCTTTGAGAAATCATAGATTGTAGCCTTTATAGCATAATCAAACATTGATCTTTGTGTGTTTGTATGTGTGTGTTTCCAAGTTCGCGTGTGTGTCTGTGAGTGTTCCTGAATGAGACTGGCATTTGCATCAACTGACTCAGTAAAGTAGATTGCTTTCCCCAGTGTGGGTGGGCATCATCCAATCTGTTGACCTGAATGGAACAAAAAGAGGGAAGAGAATTTGCCCCTTTTCATTTTCTGCCTCTCTTCTTCCATGGGGCAATACCTTCTTGGGCCTTGGGACTGGATTTTAAAACATTGGCGCTCCTGCCCTAACCAGTTTGGTTCAGTGGATAGAGCGTTAGCCTGCGGACTCAAGGGTCCCAGGTTTATTAGCCTGAAGCCATTAAATATGGCAGATATCTGTTAGGACAGGAGAAATACATAATATGGGCTTTGAGAAATCATAGATTGTAGCCTTTATAGCATAATCAAACATTGATCTTTGTGTGTTTGTATGTGTGTGTTTCCAAGTTTGCGTGTGTGTCTGTGAGTGTTCCTGAATGAGACTGGCATTTGCATCAACTGACTCAGTAAAGTAGATTGCTTTCCCCAGTGTGGGTGGGCATCATCCAATCTGTTGACCTGAATGGAACAAAAAGAGGGAAGAGAATTTGCCCCTTTTCATTTTCTGCCTCTCTTCTTCCATGGGGCAATACCTTCTTGGGCCTTGGGACTGGATTTTAAAACATTGGCGCTCCTGCCCTAACCAGTTTGGTTCAGTGGATAGAGCGTTAGCCTGCGGACTCAAGGGTCCCAGGTTTGATTCCGGTCAAGGGCATGTACCTTGGTTGGGTAGAAGTCACAAGACAAACTGTAGATAAATGGATGAGGCAGCCCATCTGGATAACACTGCTAGTGGATCAGAGGAAAATTTCAAAATCTTTGAGGCAGGAACGACAAATTGTGGGGACTCTTGAGGCAGAGGGCTCAGAGCAGGGTCCCCATTTGCCTGGACCTTAGGTAGTATCCATCTCCCATTGCTAATACAACCCCCATCATTTTGCAAAGGGCACCACAACTATTCTTGTTCATTTGTTTTGTAGCCCTAGTCTCAGAGTTTGCATTTCTGCATGGAGACTGCTAAGACAAGGACATGAACATCTCAGTGAGATTTACATCACCAAACCCACATTCCAAAAAAGAGTGGGCTTGCATCATAGTGATTACACTGCTAAGTATATTCCCAAGAAAACCAAAAGCACAACCCGCACAAAAACTGGTGCAAAAGTGTTCATGGCAGCAGTATTAAAAAACTGGAAACAATCCTATGTTCATCAACTGATGGATGGATAAACAAAATGTTACATATCCGTACAATGCAATATTTTTCAGCAATATTAAAGAATGAAGTACTGGCTCATGCTACAACATGGATGAACCCTGAAGACATTATGTCAAGTGAAAGAAGCCAAACACGTGATGATGTGTGGTATGATTGCATTTGTATGAAATGTGCAGAATAGGCAAATCCACAGGGAAAGTAAACAATGCTTTTTCCAGGGCCTGGGGGTAGGGGGTGGAGTTGGGAATGAGGAGTAATTGCTAATGTGTAGGGGCAGGTGAAAGTGTTCTAGGATTAGACAGTGGTGATCATTGCACAATACTGTGAATGTTTTCAAAAGTGGAGAAATGACATATGATACCCCCTATTTGTGTTAAAATGTACCGGTATTAGATCAGTCAAGGTTCTCCCAAGGAAAAAATCAGTAGTACTATATACTAGCAGAATTTAGCAGTGGTTCTCAACCTTCCTAAAGCTGCGACCCTTTAATACGGTTCCTCATGTTGTGGTGACCCCCAATTTCATTGTTACAAATTGAACATAATTAAAGCATAGTGATTAATCACAAAAACAATATGTGATTATAGATGTGTTTTCCGATGGTCTTAGGTGACCCCTGTGAAAGGGTCGTTTGACCCCCAAAGAGGTCTCAATCCATAGGTTGAGAACCGCTGACTTAGGGTGAGTAATCCAAATGGAGGTGAGGAAGTGATTACACAAAAAACTTCATA